GCTTCACCTCCCGCTGCCTTCTGTCACTTCTTTGCAGAAGACAGAGCTGACACGAGCAGACCTACCTCCGCTGAACCGGTTGCCACATCTACTGTCAGTGCTGAGTCAGCGCTTACGTCTCTCCAGGTGCCCCAGCAGCAGTTGGATTATTTCCACGCTGAGATACTGCCCTCGACAAATGAACCTGTGCCCGGGGGAATGTTTTCCCTGGGAGAGCTTTCTGTGGTGAGAGGAAAGAGTTTAAACATCGAGAGGGCAGTGAAAGGCATGTCGGTTTTCCACCCGGGGGAGTTTTGCGTGACACTCCCGAGCAAAACGCAGCCGCTCCGGAGCTGCTCCGTGAGCTTTCAGCTGCAGCAGGCCCCGGGGAGGAGTTCATTCAATGAGGACCAGGCAATGGGGAGACACGTCCCAACTCAGAGTGTCCCCACAAACAAACGAACCCAGCAGGGGTTAAGGCGAGCTTCAGACGTGCTCATCCTCTGTGCAGAGCTGAAGCCGACCCGCTCGGTCACTCCTCACCCTCCGCATCACGTGTCTCCGTCATGAAGCAGCAAGAAGGAGAAAACACGTTTTTTTGTTTTCCCCCTTGTCTTTTTTTCTTTTTAAATGACTACCACAAAAAGCTAGCTGAAGAGCTTAGGAGCAGCTGCACTATCAGAAATTATTTTTACCTCATTAAAAAAATGTATCCTTTTGAAATGAGAGCGGCAGAATGGAGATCAGAGCTTCTAGTGCTTCGCTGGGTGTTACTTAGTACCTGTGGATCATTACATTGATAAAAATATGTACAGACTCACTTTTCAGGTTTAAAAGTGTTTTGTCCTTTTGTTTGCTTAGCTAAATAAAGAGGTTTTGTTTGACCTGTGATTTTGAATCCAGCTGGCTTTTAATATACAGTGACTCATACACAGCAGCCAGCAGAGTTGGTCTCGCTTCCACCGTTACACCACCCATTTTGGCCGAAGCCCCACAGAAAAATTAAGCGGCGTGGGGCGGCTTTCGGTTCGGCCTTCCTCACCAGAGCTGTGCTCCCTGCTGAAATGAGGGAGCTAATCACGGAGAGAGGTACTTCACATAAGCCAAATTGTCAGGATCTGGCCTTTCAAGGCACCGCAAGTCCCGTAAGATTTTCAAGGTTAGTAATAAACCATTAGTTTCTAACGAAAATTGGAGCTGAGGCTGAGGACTTGTCTCCAAATGGTAATTTTTTATAATGAGATACTGTCGTTATCTTGGCTGACGTGCAATAGAGCACCACTGGTTTTAGTGGGAGTAGGACGGGAGCTCTTTAGACCAAGGTTGACATTATTTTATCTGCTGCAGAATAAGCCAAAGAATTCTTAAGGGTGCTAAAGCAGGAAACCTCATTTCCATTTTCAGTAAAGGCTACATATCATATATCATCACCAAACATTGGGCCTGATCCTTGCCCCTAACTCAGTGCGTGTTTTCTCCCCTCACAGACCGCACCGTTGACATGAGAATGTAAAACCCATTGGGTGCATGGGCCCTCGGGGACGAGGAAAGATCCATGCTCAGCAGCGGTAGTGGCAATTTCTATCGCAGCTCTGCAGCCTCTGTGCAGGCAAACTTGCCCGCTGACTTTTGGAAATACAAGATCAGAGACAGTACATGGTTGCCCCCCTAGCTGGCTCCCCATCGTCACAACGATGCACTGCCCAGTGACTGGCAATGGGGGCTCCAGGAGTTTTTGTCTTCCACAAATCATTATTTCATGACCACGGTAAAAGTGCCACCATCTGACAACAGAAGGAATTTGTGGGTCCAGATACTGCAAGTGTAAGACCGTTTTCTCAAATAAATGTCTGCTGTTTCAAGAAAAACCTCAGCAAGGAAAATGTAGACATTATGATATACACAATTCCTGGACTTCCTCCATCAGGAATTGCAGCTCTTCGTTTCTAAAGTGAGATGTTATTTGGGGAGACAAGAGATTATGTAGCCTGCTTTATGTTGTTCTGCTCAGGTATCCCTGTAGATCAGGACTTGCTTTGAAAATGAAGGCTGTATTTTACTGCAAGTGGGCTGACGTCAGTTCTACTCTCAGGGCTAACCAAACCCCATCAAAATCCTCTTTTGCCTTCGTCTTTCCCAGAAATTATGAGTCAGCAAAAGCTTTCTGAACACTGTATATAGAAAAAACTCCACATTCATATTGTCCCAACAAAATGAGTGGCTAAGATCACTGTAACCCAAATTTGCTTCCTAGAAGAGGGGAAGAATGCTCAGGGAAATACCTTAAAAGTGTTGCATCGTTATCAGGAGGGATCCAGCTTCATCTGGTAGATACAGTTGATCATTGGGGAAAGCTCTAAACTGAAAATGAGGTCATATAGTAAAAAAATGAAACAAAGTAAATAACGTGTTGGACTAAAAATGGAAGAGTAACTCACTTAAGTCCTTTTCACTCCTGGATTAAGTGGTTTGTTACTGCAGTAGGATTCTACCCATCTAAGTTTTCTATATCTAATTTCTATACAGGTCGTCACTGCTTAATGAATTTATGGTGAAAATCCCTGATGCCTTGATGTTCCTGACAGAGTTAATGGACGGAGGTGGCATCAGGGTGGCCACTAGCAGATTCTGTCTCCTTAACTTCAGAGTCCAAAAGTACACATAAGAAATTTCTGCGAGGGGCTTTTAGAGCCAATACTGGTCCTCAGAGCCTGCAGAGGGCTCCCAGGAACCTGCTCAGGTCCTACTCAGCATCTCACACCTGGGCGCAGGTTCAGTGCTGGGGTGTGAGGACCTGCATCCCGGCCTGGAGCGCTGCCTGTAGCAAATCCTCAGTAAGGGAACCGATGGCACCCCTGCCCTGCGGTTTTACTGCGGTCCACGCAACAGTGTCAAAGATTTATGAGACTAAAGCCTAGCAGATGGCAAGTTTTCCAGTTTTACCAGAAAGTTTTGCCAGATTTCACCAGTCCGAGGCACTTGCTGGTCTTTTCCCCCAGCTGGTGCTACTGTGGGTGATGCAGCATCTTTGGCTGAGCCTGTGCTGGTTACTAGAGCAGGGCCAGGATGCTCCAGCCAGCAGTTTGGTCCCTGGTTTGCAGGGGAAAACGAGCTTGGGGACACTCTGTGCCACCCAGCCGTGAGGATAGAGGGCAGGCCTTGCCCTCTTCTTTACTAGCTTAGATGTAGCGTGTGAGATAAGGGCTTAAAAGAGGGGGAAAAATAATTTTTCTGCCTAGCAGCTTTAGAGTTCTTAATATGAGCAGTGTTTTGACCTATCATAAGATCTGGTTTAAATCATATTTATAACATCACTGCAACAGGGCCATGACAAACTGTGTGGCTGAATGTATTCAGCAATTACAATGTCACATTTGGGATTATTAGAATTGATAAAAATAATGGGGCTAGTAGAGTCTGGAATACAGGGTTTTTTAAAAATGAAATATTTTTGTATTATCAGTGAAATGATACTGATTTTCATAATCCTTGCACTCACATAAATACAGCATTACTGATTCACAGCCTCACTGAGGCTTCTTGGATCCTTGTAGTCCCAGCTGCTCCAGCAGGCAAAGGCTTGATGCATTGCCCAGTCATAACTGGGAAACTCATTAGTCCAAACTTTTTATATGGTACTATGCACATAAAAGTAATCTGTTTCAGCCCTTAAATACAAATTGAAATGATAGTGATAAACGATAACATAACTAGCATGGAAATGTAGCAGAACTACAAATAAAGAAGCAGCAACACTGCTTTGTGAAAACTGCCACGTGTGTTATTGCTCTAAATAAATCAGTCGTCGGTGAATTTGAACCCGAGTGAAGAAGCGTTTGCAAAGTCTGAACAACATTGACCTCTGACGGGCTCTTTGAAGCCACTAAGCCGTGGGATTGTCAAAAGCCTGTACACTGCTCTGAGACAGGCAGGCAGCAAAGATGCACTTAAATGATTTTTCTACAGGACTCAGTCCAAAAAAAGAATGGGGAGAAACAATTCAGGTTCCCCTCAGAACTGTGGATGATAAGGAAAGTCAATTTATTGTGTATTATTTTACAGGCTTTTAGGAAAGAAGACTGTGACTTTTTTTCCTTTTCCCTTTTTCCTTTTTCCTCCCCAGTGTTAGACTAAAAGAGGAAAAAATGAGCCCAGCTTAGAGTCCGATTTTCCCCCACAGTTTGATAACTTTTTAATGGAGCATTATCATAAAGGGCTAACTTATAACTTGAAGATGAAAGCTACTGGAAACCTGGTGAATAACTGTAATTAGCGGCCTATTTGACTGGGCTTTTTGTTTCTTTGGCTGCTGGAGAATAAAAAAGAGTTTGTGCTCTTCGTTACTCTCTCTGTGCCAGACTAACGAAGAGACCAAACAAACGAGCGAGCAGGAAGGTGCCTTTCTTGGTGCAGTATTTCATCTCCATAGTGAATGATGATCTCTTTAGGCAGAATTACACGGGGAGCTTTCAAAAGTAAACAAAGGGACTTTGCTCAACCGGCAAATTTGCCAGCTCTCTTGTTTCTAAAAGCATCTAAACACACAAAGTTATATTACATCTTACATGTTTTTATTTGTATACAAAATGTTATAATTTATCAATATTGTGCAGCAAAGTATAGATACACACATACATACATACACTCCCCCAGCGCACACACGCGTACAAATACAACACAAACACAACTTTCTTTCTCTCTGCCCTTCAGAAAGGCAACACTGTCTTGGCAGGTCAGCAGCTAGAAATAAGGTGCTATAATTAAGCGATATTGGAATGTCTTCACTTTACAAATGTGATGTGCAAATTTATATACAACCACTTTTTTTTTATTTTTTTTTTTTCACGGAACCCAAAACTCCATACCCCGAGCCACTCTCAGAGATACAAACATGTATAAAGTGCTAATACTTAAGCATGTTTCCGACGACTTCACAACGTAGTTTGAAGTTTAGAACAGGCACTGTATTAGTTCACTGGGTAGATTGTCACTCGGTGCAGTACGACAGAGAGAAAAGTCACTCAGACATCGCTGGGGGACCGGGAGCGAAAGGACACTTTAGCCTGAAAGCAGCCGCAGAAGAGCACCCACATGGACCTCTGGATTTCCTGGTTCCTGTAGGCGTAAATGATGGGGTTGATCATGGAGTTGTAAGTAGCGGGTAGAAGCGTGGCGTACGTGTACACGGAAGGGTAGTCAGGATCCCCCACTACACAGTAGATGGCAAAAGGCAGCCAGCTGGCTCCGAAAGTCCCGAGGATTATAGCGAGGGTAGAGACTCCTTTTTTGGTGGCGACATAGTGTGAAGCAGTCAGAAAGTGCTGCTGGAGGGCTATCTGGTGGGCATGCCTGCAAACGATCTTGCAGATCTCGATGTAGAGATGGAGCATGATGAGGAAAACGAGGAAGAAAGAGGCGGACAGCAGCGTCACGTTGCTCTTGGTCAAGGGCCTGACGACGCTGCAGGCTGCGCGGTCGTGGAGGCAGTTCCAGCCCAGGACGGGCAGCAGCCCCAGGCAGAGGGAGACCCCCCAGGCGCCCGCCAGCATGGTGTGGATGCAGAGCACCGTCCTCTCCGAGTAGTAGGTGAGGGCGTTGTAGAGGGAGAGGTAGCGATCGACCGTGATGGCCAGCAAGCTACTCACGGAGGCGGCGAAGGAGGCGACGAGGAAGCCCACCGTCAGCAGGCTGACCGTCTCGGAGCGGATCACGTACTGGAAAACGAAGTTGAGGATGAGGCCGAGGCCGGCCAGGAGGTC